ATATTAGAAATATTCATTCTTTGTCATTTCATTTTGGAGATTTAATGTTCTTATTATGAAAAATCATTTTAATTTATTTGAAACTAATCCTAAAGTATTAATATTAATTATAATAGAAAAAGAAAATGTAGATGAGATGCACTTAAGCTGATCATCGAAATCAATAAATAATAGGGTTTTGTATAGAAAGTACATGTCCAAATTAAAGACCTTACTGTCATTTTTGCTTACCTTTCCATGGCTATCATCTGAGTAAATTAACATCTTATGAATTATTATCTGAATGGATGAAAGAAAGAATCCTTATTATTCAGGATATTTAAACGAATATATAAGAATGTAAAATTGCCCTTGATAACGTAATAAATTTGTTCCTTCCTTATAACAATTTTAATTTATCATAATTTCCAGAATTAGGATTATCACAGGTTGATTAGATAATAAAAGATTTATGCTAAATGCAAAATCGTGAAGAAAAGTTGTTTAAATAACTTAAACAATCAATCGAAGATTAAAAATCAATTGTAAATGAAATACTAAAAAAAAAAAAATATCAATCAAATATAAAGTAAAATGATAATACACAAATTCCTTACTGCAATATAGATTAATAAATATAAGAATAACCGAAGAATTAAAAACAAAAATTAAATCCATTCACACTTGAACTAATAATTTAAAATTCAATTAGGTAAAATGAATGGTGTGGTGCTATTGCTTTTAATAAAGATTATTCAATTGTGGTAGCTGGAAGTAAGAAGGATATCAAAGTTTTTTAGCAGATATAAGGAAAACTGAATTAAATATAATAGTTAAGTTGGCATAAAAAACTTGTAAGTTCTTTAAATTTTATGAAAAATACAAATAATTTTGTATCTGGAAGTGATGATAATTCGATTATAATATGGTAAGTGATTGGAAATAATTAATGGAAAATTTAATAAATATTGAATGGACATTCAGATGTTATAAATTGTTTAGTTTTGAGCAACAATGATGATTGTATTTTCTCTGGGAGTATAGATAAAACAATAAAATGTTGGATGAAATAGGACTAATGGTTTTGTTAATAAACCATAAATGATCATACTGATGAAGTATATTCATTAAGCTTAAATAATTAATAAAATAAATTGATATCTTGTTCAAAGGATTCATAAATATTTATAATAGAATAGTAAAAGTTTGATAAAAGATGGAGTATTACTTAAAAGATTAAAGCAGATAAATATGGATTAAGATTATGTTTTATTAATGATGATTAATTTACATTTTAACCTTATGTTCAAGAATAGATGGATGTATATTAGGTGGATAGTAATACTAAATAGTATACAAAGACTAGGGAGATTGCTGTAAAATGTGGTTCAAGTAATGATTGGTGTTTATTTCCATAATAGTATTTAAAGTCAAAATGCCTCCTTGTTAATAAGAATGGCAATAATGTTAACTTAATGAGGAAGAAAGAAAATGGTGATTTTATAGTTTATCAATCTATTGAATTTAGAAGTTATGGTATTTATGGATAATTCAGTGATAACGGTGAGTATTTGATCACTTGGGATAATATATCAAAGGAAATATAAATAAGGAAATTTAGAGAAAATTAATCATGAGTTTTAAAATATATAGATTATATAATATTTCAGAAAATTTAAGTGTAAAATTCAATTTCACGTTTTTATATTCTTTTTGTTTTTGCTCTAATTTTGAATTCTTTTTAGAAATCTTTATTTAGAAGGAATTTAATTGTTTTCTATTTTTATTAGGATATTTACTTTAAAATAATCTAATCTTTACTTTTGCATCGAACTTCTTAATTTAGAAAATGATTCATTTTGATCAATAATCGCTTTATCGCATTCTTTATTCTAATTATCAATGAATTCAACATATTTGTTCATTGTTTCAACATCATCTATTGGTTTATTGTGAATTCTTTTCTTAATAAATTCAAAACACTTTAATCTAAAATCTGTAATAAAAATTTTAGGATCATATTTTAAATATATATTTTTATATCTTTAACTTCAAGAATTGCTTTAAGATTAAATTTTCTTTGTTTGATTCCACTAAATTTATTGTTGAAGCTAATTCATCTGAATTATTTTACTTTAAATTCATATTCCAATTATTTTATACTTTTTTATCTTCATTTTGCATTAATCATACCTGTATTTCTAATAGCAGCCATCCTAGTATATGCTATAATGAGAGGTAAAATTAATAACAATTAAATCATCTCTAGAATTTTAAGATTTATATAGAAATGGCCATTCTCTAGTTAAAACTCCTTTTTAAATTCTTGAATCTATTATAACGATTTAGGAATATCTTTATTACCTGCTTTAATAATCATTATAATTTCATCCTCTAAGTATTTGGTTTCATCAGAATTGGACAAACTAAACTTTATATTATTTTTTTCACTATTTGCTACCTTATCTCATTTTCCAATAAATTATCATCCAAAATGATTATTTAGATTATAAATGTAAAGATAAATAAGCAGCAGCCCCTTTAACTTTAGCAAAAGATTAAATCAACCTATTTAAATTTAAACGACCTTCAAAGTTACCAGTATATTTGTTCAAGAAATAAATTATGAAAATCAATTTCTACCAACTAGTAAAGTCCATCTATATTACTTGGTGTAATTAATATTATTAATCCTATTACTCTTCCAATACAGCCATGATTTCGATTATAAATTATCAAAAAATAACACTAATATCACAATCTTTCAAAGTCAACCTTGTTTTTAATAATTTTACAATGATTTCTAAACTTAAATATTAATAAAGGCGAAAGTGAATTGGTCACAATTTACCTTTAGATCTTATAATTTCTTGAATAATTTCCCTCTCATTAGAAAAATTTTTATTAAATTTTATCTTTATTATGAATATTACTATTATATGCTAAAGTCTAAATTTCTTAATTCAGATTAAATAGTACTAAAATTATTAATATTCGTTTCAATATTTATATTTAGAAAATTTTATAAAATTAAATATCTACGAAGAGATTATAATGAGATTATTATAAACTTTCTTCTAAATCACCAGGTTTGTGAGCAGACTTAAAAGCAGGATCGTAAATCAATTCATACTTATTTTTTTTTTATTCAATAATAATTAATCTTAATTAAATTTAAAATGTTATTGACACTCTAAATCAAAGTTTAATTGAAACGTCAAGCACAAATAATTTGATTTTTATTATTAGAAATAAACATAAACGGAACACTTTTAGAAAGTATATTATTATAATATTATCTTATCTATTAGATTGCTCATTCTGATTCTGTTCTCTATGTTATTTAAATGGAATAATCTATATGGTTATAATTATTATTAGAAATTTATAGTCGCATCTACAGCCCTTAGAATCAGCACATGCTTAATTCTTTTATTAGTGATAACAATGGTTGAGAATTGTCTCCTCAAACATAAACCATAAATACATTCAAAAAAAAATAATTTTATTTAGGTACATTAATATTTCGGCTTTTATTTAAATCTTTCGATTAACCATTATTCCTTTTTTCTAATAATAACTCTGTGCCAATTTTATAAAAACGACAATACATATAGTATATTTAAAATTGAATATGATTTAAAGTCTTTTATTTATTTTTTTAAATCATATAAATTTATTACTAATAAATTTTTAATTCAATTTAAATAAATTATGAATAAAAAATTATAATGAAGATTGCCAACAATCTGTAATGTTTGATTGGCATCAGTTTCTGTGCTTCTCCGTATTTTGATTTATCTCTTTTTATTCGTTTTCTTCACTTTAAAATAAAGAAATGATTAATGTATTTTATTAATAATATTTTAGTATTGTATTACAATTTGACAATAGCTGCATCACTCAAAAGTTAATCATCAAAAGATCTTTAAAAAAATGGAGAAAATTAAAAATTCACATTATGATCATAAAAATTTCAGCATCTTATTCTAAAATGCTTACTCGATAATCAACTGCAAATACTATACTCGCAATACTTTTAAAAATAAAATTATTTTTTTCAGTTCTTTAAATTATTCTATTTACTTTCCATAAATCTAATTATTTTTTAAGTATTATTTGATTTTTTTTTAACATGAATGAGACGTATTATTTAAAATATTAAATTTTTTTATTATTATTTATATTAAATAAATTAATTAATTAATGGGAATAACTAAATATACAATTTTAATATTTAGTACTAGTTCTATATCTATATGTATTAAATTTAGACCTGATTCGCTAATCTTGTGTTAATCACCATGATAAACTATGATGAAATAAATGAAATCTATACCAAAAGATTAAGATTTAGGAGATTTTTGTTTGATTTGTTGCTGATTCTTATTCTATTTATAAGAAATTAAATAAAATGATTTCATTCACTCTTCTCTATTCAAAGCATAAATCAATTTTTTATTGTGTAGAATATTTTAATTTGATAATTTAACAGATGAGCTTACTTATAAAAATTGCTTAAAACTTTATATTTATTTTTTATTCATTTTGCTTTGGCAAATACTACACACTTGCTCACTTTATTTATGAGCAAGTTTTAATCTAATTTCCCATAAATATATCGTATTATATAAATAATGTCAATTTTTATAATTTAATGATTTTCTTGTTCTATATTCTTAAAGAATCAAACCATGAAAAAATTTATTTGGTTTCCTATCTGCCGATTCTAATTCAACAAAATTAAATGTTCACAAAGTTTTGAATTCTCTAAACATATATACATGAGAGACTTTTTTGATTCATGATATAAAATGCAAAATAAAGTAATAGCAATTCAATATTAAAATTAATTTATAATGTAACTTGACTAAAAATTTGAGGTAACTAAATAGAGAATGACTTATAAATCAATGCTCTCTTAAACTCAAGCTATGCTGAAAATAATTTGGGATAATTTATCAGTATCAATCAATTAAATTTATGATTGGATTGAAAAGGACAATGCTGAGAAGAATGTATATATGATGGAGATGGATAAAATTAACATTCGGTTGGATTAAGAAATTAAATCATTTATCTAAAAGATGAATGAAATAATCAATAAAATTTAATCATTAATTAAGTAAAAATTTTTATCTTATTTTAGGATTTAAACTTAATAAGATGAAGGGGATTCTAAATTGAAGAATGAGAAAATTAATTAATTAAACATTTTGGAAGGTCATTGTGATATTGTGAATTCAGTTTGTATCTCACCTAATGGTACTACCTTAGCATCCGGTAGTTGGGATAACTCTATCCGTTTATGGGATGTTAAGACTGGATAATAAAAAGCCAAGTTGGATGGTCATAGTAATTCAATTATATCTGTATGCTTCTCTCCTGATGGTACTAAAATAGCATCTGGTAGTGATGATAAGTCTATCCGTTTATGGGATGTTAAAACAGGATAATAAAAAGCCAAATTGGATGGTCATAGTAGTTCTGTGAATTCAGTCTGCTTCTCTCCTGATGGTACTTCGTTAGCATCTGGCAGTGGAGACAAGTCTATCCGTTTATGGGATGTTAAAACAGGATAATAAAAAGCAAAATTGGACGGTCACAATGGATAGGTTTATTCAGTCTGCTTCTCTTCTGATGGTATTTCATTAGCATCTGGTAGTGGAGACAGGTCTATCCGTTTATGGGATGTTAAGACCGGATAATAAAAAGCCAAATTGGATGGTCATAGTAATACTGTCTACTCAGTGTGCTTCTCTCCTGATGGTACTGCATTAGCATCAGGAAGTTATGATCAGTCAATTCGTTTGTGGGATGTTAAGATTGGATAATAAAAAGCAAAGTCAGATGGTCATAATAATTCAGTAATATCTGTATGCTTCTCTCCTGATGGGACTACATTAGCATCGGGTAGTGATGATAAGTCGATCCGTTTATGGGATGTTAAGACAGGATAGTAAAAAGCTAAATTGGATGGTCATGAATATGGAGTCTTTGCAGTATGCTTTTCTCCTGATGGTACTACATTAGCATCTGGTAGTAGAGATTGTTCAATCCGCTTATGGGGTACTAAGTTGCATAAATGATTTTATTATTTCTTTTAAAAGGCAATTAATAATTTTATGATAAACATAATTCAAATTTGTTTTTCAAATTCTGTAAGTCATATTTTATAAAAATTTCCTATTATGTCTTTAGCCAAAATCATATTTTTTTTAATTCAATCAACAACCTCTAGAGTTATTTTATTAACAATAATTCATCCTTTTTAGAAATTATGAATCATTTATGACTATTTGCTCTCATTTTGAAAGAATCATATTAGGTAAATAGTTATATAAATTAGCAGGGATCAAAAATAATAAAATTTTTAAAAAGGAAATTTTGATTGCAAATTCTAAAGAAAGGGATGCCTCCTTATTTTTTTAATGAGAATTTTGAAGATTAACTTGGTTAAGGCTAAAGTTTCTTTTTATGTATTACTGAAACTGTTGGGATTAATGTTTCTTTCTTAATTCATCCCCCAAATCCTTTTCTCTTTTTAACCCCCAGGGTCAGTGGCATAGAAAGATCACACTCTACATACCCCTATTAATGTTGAAATAGCGCTTGTTGTGATTTGTGGCAATTTACTTCAATTTCTATATGACCAATTCTTTAATTTTTTAATCAAGGTTGATTTTAATCTTTACTTATTTCAAAATATCTTTAGCTCTTAACACGCTCCATTAAGAAATCCTGTAATTATACTAATTGTCTTTACTTTTTTTGGTTTTCCTAACATCATGAAATTCGATGATAGAAAATTAAATAGGAAATCGATATTATGACCTTTTTTAAAATTAATTTAAATCCAAATAAGAATTATTGAAAATATTTTACTTTTGTTTTCAATGCGTTTTATGACTAATTCGTAAAAGATACTAAATCACAAATATTAATTTTTGCTTGGGAAATATAATTTTATAGAACAATATATTTCGAATCAAAGAAAGCTTGATACTCATATAGAGAACAAGTGCTCTCTTATGGACCTTTACAAAATGAAGTTTAAATATCAAGACAACTGGGTAAAAATGAAGATTAAAAGGTTTTAGTCTAAAATAGTTACAAAAATGAACCTGGATTACTTAAAATATCTGGTAGGTTATATTTCAGACGTTTAAACTTAACAAAGTATTGACCGAAATTTAAATTTGAGGAAAGTT